TTATTATTATTATTACCACCACCACCACCACCACCACCACCACCACCACCAAGACTGGCTACATAAAGAATGGCTTGCCTTTAAAAAGTCAGAATGTTGAATTACAGTAATAATTATCATTATCCTTTGGCCTTGTGTGTAGAATAGCCAAGAGAGTCTAGGATTGTCTGGCAGCTGCAAGTTCTAGCATTATGCTAGTGGCAAGCTAGGCTTGTTTTTTTATGGGTTGAGAGAGCTGGGAAAGAGCTGTGACTCACCCACAGTCACCCCGCTGGCTTCATGTGGAGGAATGGGGAATCAGAACCTGATACTTTTTCTAAACAACCATAGGAAGGCCCTTTCTGGACCACAAATTATTACCAGTGACACACCACTTGGCATGCGATTGCATCTTTGGAGGCCTCCTTTGTACTTTTATTCTGTGCCTAGTGATTTCATTTTGGAACAACTTTTTTCTGGTCCTTGTATTTATATTTTATATCTGTATGATCGTACTGTACTATTATATAAGCCAGTATGTTCCTCACTGTGTTTGACCTCTGAAGAAGGCCTACGCAGGTCGAAACACATCAGGTCAAGTCCATTGGCCCTTGTGTGTTAGATTCTGGTATTTTTACATGAGGTATGATTGGGCCCTTATATATTTTTGTTAATAAATACATGTATCTTTTTATATACTATATATATATTAAGCTTTTATTGTTGGCCCTCTTATCTATTTGACTAACTTTTTCAGGTTCTGGATCCCAGGTTTCTAAAAGGCCTCCCCCCCCCCCCCCCCCACTTTTGTCCCGGAATGGGGAATCAAACATGGTTCTCCCAGATTAGAGTCCAGCTACTGTTAACCACATCACCACACTGGCTCTCGCCAGAATCTTGATTGTTTGCTTGGAGGAAGCTGGCTTAGTTAATGGTCATGTTAATTGTGGCAAAGTTTCTTAATTTTTCAGGTTTTGCGGAATGCGGGCAGATCAATACCGGCTGCCTTGTTAAGGTCTCCAGAGCCCTGAGAGGCCCTGTGCCGTAGACCGATTTGAGGCTGATTGCATTTTACTTAGAGAAAACAAGGGCTTAGTTAGGAGGGAACTATTTCTTTTCAGATAATTGCCCTACTTGTTTGTGACACAACATGACGCCTTCTTCTTCCCAGAGTCATTAATTCATTTGTCTGCCATCAGCAGAGTCAGGAGTATTACGTGATGAGAATGAGCGTGAAGGAGCGGGGGAGCATCTTCCTTTGCTGGGCTGGGAAGGCAAGCCGGTCCGTCTGATCACATGAGCAGGTCTTAAACTCCAGTCCTCTGAAGACAAAGGGACGCTTTTAGGTTTTTCTCTGGCTGTGCCTTTTCAACCAGAGCTTCTCTGAGGGGGCGGATGCTGCTTCTGTTTCCTGTTCACTCTGTGAACGGAGGCACTGAGCTGTGGTGGAAAGCCAACTTCCAGTGACCCCGGAGGGTTTCCAAGGCCAAAGATGCTCGGAGGAGGTTTGCCATTATCTGCCTCTGCCCACCAGCCCTGGACTTCCTTGGTCTCCTATCCGAATACAGGCAAAGGCGAAGGTCTCCCTCGCTCCCTCGCTCGAAAGCCAGTTGAGTCCGACTCTAGGGCTGCGGTGCTCATCTCCGTTTCCAAGCCAAAGAGCCAGCACTGTCCGAAGACATTTCCGTGGTCATGTGGCCGACGTGACTAAACACCGAAGTGGTCCCTATTTATCTACTTGCAGTTTCTTGCTTTCGAACTGCTAGGTTGGCAGGAGCTGGAATGAGAGACGGGAGCTCACTCCGTCATGAGTCACCCTGGAAGTTCGGTAGTTCGGCAGTTCGAGACCCAAGCGCCGCATGAGAGAGTGAGCTCCCGTCTTTAGTTCCAGCTCCTGCCAACCTAGCAGTTCGAAAGCAAGAAACTGCAAGTAGATAAATAGGGACCGCTTCGGTGGAAAGGTAACAGCGTTCCGTGCACCTCGGCGTCTAGTCATGCCGGCCACATGACCACGGAAACGTCTTCGGACAGCGCTGGTTCTTCAGCTTGGAAACAGATTAGCACCTCATCCTTAAAGTTGGATTCGACTAGCTTTCAAGCAAGGGAAACCTTTACCTTTACCTAGCTATGCTTTTATCAGTGGCTAAAAACGCTGTTGTATTAAAATGGGAAGATAAAAATGGACCAGATAGGCAAAATTGGTATTCAAAACTGTGGAATATGCATATAATGGCAAAAGTTACTGAGGGTCTTAATGCAACTTATACTCTAGCACCCATGAATTCAGGTAGTGGTTAGTTGACATCTAGTTTTTAAGCATGTGTTTTAGGAGCATCAGAAGAGCCTTTCTGGATCAGACCAATGATTTTATTATTTATTTATTTATTAAATTTCTACCCCACCCTCCCGCCGAAGAGGCTCAGGGTGGCTTACAAACAATTTAAAACCAACATACAGTTTAAAAACAGCAAATACAAAATAAAACCAGCAAATACAAAATAAAATAAAAGGGAGGGTCCATCTAGTCCAGCATCCCATCTCACACAGGGGCCAGCCAGTTCCTCTGGAGGGCCAACAACAGGGCAGAGAGGCCGAGGCCTTCCCCTGATAAGAACCTCAGCCCTGCTGGGTCAGACCAGTGAGGGTCCCTCTAGTCCAGCCTCCCGTCTCACACAGTGGCCAGCCAGTTCCTCTGGAGGGCCAACGACAGGGCAGGGAGGCTGAGGCCTTCCCCTGAGAAGAACCTCAGAAGAGCCCTGCTGGATCAGACCAGGGAGGGTCCAGCCAGTCCAGCATCCGGTCTCTCACAGTGGCCTCCAGTGCACCCTTGGAGGAGATTCCCTGTTCAAAACTCTCTCCATGTGCAGAAACAGCAGCACAAGGAGGATTTGTTCTGAACATTTGGTTGTGATTGTTTTTTTTATAGATTCACGCCAAATGGGTTCTGGACACAGACGTATTCAATGAATGGATGAATGAAGAAGACTATGAGGTGGACGAGAACAAGAAGCCAGTTAGCTTTCGCCAGCGGATCTATATGAAGAACGAAGAAGTAAGACTTCCCTACTTCCTGTGGGCATAGAGTGTCGAGCAGTGGCATTAGCAGCCTCTCCTTCCTTGTGTAACTCAAAGCTGTTAAGGTAGCAGGTGGTCGTCCGGAGGCTAGCAGTGTTGTGCTGGAGAGAACATAAGAGAAACCACGTTGGAGCAGGCCCATCCAGTCCGACACTCTGTGTCACACAGTGGCTAAAACCCAGGGGCCCTCAGGAGGTCCACCAGTGGGGCCAGAACTCCAGAAGCCCTCCCACTCTTGCCCCCCTCCCAAGCACCAAGAAGACAGAGCATCCCTTGCCCCAGAGTGTTCCCTCTGTACCTTGTGGCTTATAGCCTTTGATGGGACTCTGCTCCAGATGTTTATCTAATCCCCTTTTGAAGCTGTCTGTGCTTGTAGCTTCCAGCACTTCCTGTGCCAGTGAATTCCACATATGAATTACCCTTTGGGTGAAGAAGTACTTTTATCTATTCTTAAGCCTACTGCTCATTAATTTCATTGAGTGCCCATGAGTTCTTGTATTGTGAGAAAGGGAGAAAAGGGCTTCTTTCTCTGTTTTCTCTATCCCATGCATAACTTTGTAAACCTCTTATCATGTCACAGTTGTCGTTTCTCCAAGCTAAAGAGCCCTAACCGCTTTAACCTTTCTTCATAGGGAAAGTGTTCCAACCCTTTTGTCATTCTTCTAGTTGCCCTTTTCTGCACTCCTTCCAGTGCTGCAATATCTTTTTTGAGGTGCATTGACCAGAACTGTACACAGTACTCCACATGAGGCCACACCATCAATTTAATTAACCAGTTTTTAATCCACTAGAGGACTTGTCCTTTTCTCCTGTAACTGCTGGGTTTACTGAGGAGCCTTTGATGAGGCACTTTATCAAAAGTTTTCTGGAAGTTTAGGTAAACAGCATCTATTGGGTCCCCCTTGTCCTCATGCTTGTTCACCCTCTCAAAGAAGAGGGCTCACGCCTCTAGCGAGAAGGAGCCTTATACAATTAAAGGCCCACCCAGCAGAGGGCAGGGCCAGCAATTAGCCCCAGGCAAAACTGCTAAAAGCCACAATCAGTTACACCCAGGCAAAAGAGACTAACAGAAACCACACTTCCTCAAACAAGCACCACTCTCCAACAGGCTATACTCACCCACACACCTTCAAACACTATCCTCCCACACAGTAATCTCAGCTACTTCTTAGCAGTTAATGAAAGACAAATAATAAAACACTCACCACTCCAGCAGCAGCTGCCTCACCTGCCCCTTCTCAGAGCCCAGCGGGCTTGTCATTCTTTCATCCTCCTTTCGGCTGAGGTTTCATACCCGGCATTTTGTATGCTGGTTTATGAGCAAGGCCACGTTAGTAACTGTCGACGGGGCAGTACTGATCCGGGTGGCTGGGAGAACACGCCTTACGTCAGGGGGCCGGGAATGATGAGCTTCACTCAGCTGAGTTCAGTATGCTGATGGACGTTCTCTTCTGTCACAGCCAGTCCGCAGCCCGGAACGCAGAGACAGGAAGGCGACCGCCGGCGCTAGGAAAAGAAGGCACTCTCCTTCACCGCCGCCTCCTTCCACTCCGGTTGAATCGAGGAAGAAGGCTGGAAAGAAAGGGTGAGTAATCGGGGGGGGGGCTAGTTTGTGACAGTGGTCTTCAGGAAGAGGAAGAGGAGATTGGATTTATAACCCGCCCGTCACTCGGCGTCTCAGAGCGACTTACCATCTCCTTTCCCTTCCCCTCCCCACAACAGACACCCTGTTAGGTAGGTGGGGCTGAGAGAGCTCTGACAGAAACTGCGCTTTCAAGAACAGCTCTGAGAGAACTTGTGACTGACCCAAGGTCGCTCCAGCAGCTGCCTGTTGAGGAGTGGGGGATCAAACCCGGTTCTCCCAGGTTAGAGTCCGCGCTCCTAACCACGACACCAAACTGGAGAAGAGCGGGATTCAAGTCCGGCAGCACCTTGGGAGTCCCAACAAGATTTTCAGGCGTATAAACTTTTCAGGGTCAAAGCTCTGGTGATGGCGCCCGACGGAGGGAGCGTTGACTCTCGAGAGCTGATACCTGGGAAATTTTGTTGGTCTCTTAAGGTGCTCCTGGACTCGAATGTAGCTAATCTGAGCCACAGGCACCCTGGTTGTGGAGTCTGACTAAGCTCTGGGAGACCTAGGCTCGAATCCTCACTCTGCCATGGAAGCCCGCAGGGTGATCTTGGGCCAGTCACTCGCTCTCAGACTGATCAATCTCGCAGGGTGGTTGTTGTGAGGGTAAAACGGAGGACAGGAGAATGGTTGTGTGAGCAGCTTTGGGGTGGATAGAAATATCCAAGTACAAATAAGATGCCAAGGATCATTTTTGTCGAAGGCTTTCATGGCCGGAGTTCATTAGTTGTTGTAGATTTTCTGGGTTGTGTAGCTGTGGTCTTGGCATTGTAGAACCTGACGTTTCACCAGTAGCTGTTTAAAAATAAATAGGGCATGGTTTCCTGTCCTGAAAAACACAAAAGGCTCTACATCTGACAATAGCACTCCAGGGTAAGATTAGAATTTCAACAGCCAATCCACATACAAAAGAACCTCCTCAGGAAACAGGAAACCTCCTCCGGAAACAATCTACATACAAAAGAACCTCCTCAGGAAACAGGAAACCTCCTCAGGAAACAATCCATATACAAAAGAACCTCCTCAGGAAAGCTCCTCCATTAGCATGTTTTCACAGCCCGGGGAACTCCTACAAGATAATGACTCAGCCCTACCCCACCTTCCTGAGTAGATATAAATTCCTACAGCAGATGATCAAGAAGCTTTGCTGCATAATATTCTTCGGTTTAAATGTCACATGCTATCGTGTTGTTTATTGGGGGGGGGGCCAAAGAAGTGACTTCCAAGTCGACAGGCACCTGGAGATGCCGAAGTAGCAAGTCAGGAGACAGCCGCCTTGAAGCTGAGCAAATGCTTAATTGGACACGTTTATTAAAATCGATGGAGTTCCACTCACAGCTGCTGGATAACCTTGGGCAAGCCATAGTTCTGTCAGAACTGTTCTTGGGAAAAGAGCAGTTTCTGTCAGAGCTCTCTCAGCCCCGCCTACCTCACAAGGGTGTCTGTTGTGCGGAGGGGAAGGGAAAGGAGTTTGTAAGCCCCTCTCCCTTGGATAGTGAAGGACGGGCTATAAATCCAATCTCCTCCTCCTCCTCCTCCTCCTCCTCCTCCTCTTCTTCCTCCTCTTCTTCTTCCTCTTCCTCTTCTTGATATAACAATCACACATGCTTCTGTGTTATGGGCCCATAGTGATTAAGCTGCATGACATATTTACGTCCCGTGCTCCCATCAGAGGAGGGAGTTATAGATTACATTTCCAACCTGGACCCTGGGCAGGGTTGGTCAAATGATATTTTTAAGAAGATGTAAAGGGGTTTGACGCAGCCTCAGAGGTGAGAATAATGGAGTTGGGTGAACAGCCAAAGTTGCTTGTGTGCTGCCTGTTGAATGCTGCTGTCCTGGAGGCATCCCACAGGGGCACATCCGTGTTGATGCGCAGTGTATTTCTAGTTGACAGGTGGCGAAGGAGGATGGGTGACCTGTGCTTAATTTTTTCCAGGCAAGCTGGTCTTTATGGGAAGAGGCGAGGGCAAAAGGAAGACGATGAGCAAGAAGACCTCACGAAGGACATGGAGGATCCGACCCCGGTGCCTAACATAGAAGAAGTGGTTCTTCCTAAAAACGGTAGGGGGACCCAAATGCTGGACCTCCTGTTGAAATGCATGTGACATGCATGCCAGTGTGGCTCAGAGGTTACGAGTAGCGCACTAGTGTCTGGGAGACCCAGATTTGAATTCCTACCTCTGCCCCACGGAAGCTCACTTGGGTGACCTTGGGCCACTCCCACTGTCTCAGCCTGGCCTACCTCACAGGGTTGTAGTGAGGATGAAACAGAGGAGAGGGGAACTATGTCAGCCACTTTGGGTCCCGATTGGGAAGAAAAGCAGGGTATAAACGGGTTAAATAAGTAAATGATAAACGCTGGTTTCAGCCGGGCCTTTCTCCCCTAGCTGCCGAGCTCTGCATTGGCTAAAAGCTCAGACAGTTGAGGCTTCTGGGTGTTCTTGCTGTAGCCAAGCCGCCGGGAGCCTCTCGCGACTGGTGGAGTCTGTCTGTGTCGGAGGAAAGGGCCTCCACTGGCTCGGCAGATCCATGGGATCCACCCTGCGTGTGTGTGTGTGATCACCGCAGAGCAGAACGGATTCCTCTCTTCTCCCCGCAGCACATGCATTGGTCTGTTGGAGCAGTGCCTGCAGTAGGACTGAGTTGAACCCAGGAGGTATTCCTCACTTGATATGTCACATCGTCATAGGTGCTTCCGAGTTAAAGGCCAGTGTTTCCTTTGCCTGTTTGAAAGTAAACGCTCCCTTTAGACTCCTGAAGCCAGGCTGCTTCCTCATCTTTGCTCCAGCTGTGCTCACCCCAAAACACCCTCACAGCATGTGAGACCCCCCCCCCAATAAGAACAGTCCAGCAGTGGGGCCAGGACACTAGAAGCCCTCCCACTCTTGCCCCCCCAAGCACCAAGAATACAGAGCATCACTTGCCCCAGACCGAGAGTCCCTATCTATACCTTGTGGCTAACAGCCACTGATAGACCTCTGCTCCATATGTTTACCATAAGAACATAAGAGAATCCAGTGTTGGGTCAGGCCAGTGGCCCATCCAGTCCTACACTCTGTGTCACACAGTGGCCAAAAATACCAGGGGCCATCAGAGGAGGTCCAGCACGGGGGTCAGAACTCCAGAAGCCCTCCCACTGATGCCCCCCCCCCAGGTACCAAAAATACAGAGAGCATCCCTTGCCCCAGACCGAGAGTTCCTATCTACACCTTGTGGCTAATAGCCACTGATGGACCTCTGCTCCAAATGTTCATCCATAAGTACATAAGAGAAGCCAATGTTGGATCAGGCCAGTGGCCCATCCAGTCCAACACTCTGTTGTCACACAGTCGCCAAAAATACCAGGTGCCCTCAGGAGGTCCAGCAGTGGGGCCAGGACACCAGAAGCCCTCCCACTGTTGCCCCCCCCCACCACCAAGCACCAAGAATACAGAGCATCCCTTGTCCCAGACCAAGAGTTCCTGTCTATCCTTTGTGGCTAATAGCCCCTGATGGACCTCTGTTCCACTTCTACCCTACATCTACCTACATTCAAAATCCGCCTCACTGTTTCAGCCCCAGGTTATGTGATTAGCCCACTGACCCAAGGTCTTTTTTTTCTGTGAGCTGCCAGGTCCCCATTTGTTCTTCCTCAAGTGTCCGAGGGAACTGCGTCTGGGTTTCCATTGCTTTAGAGGACTAAACTTAACTAATTGTGGGCGAGAGCGGAATTAGAAATCAAGACAAATACATAAATAAATGATAGCCTACATTGCAAGTGCGCATGGAGAAGGAGAGTAAAATGGGTGATGCCTCCTGTACACAAGACCTGCCTGCCTCTGCCCTGTGTGTTCCTGCACTGCACTGAAAGCAGCCCGTCTCTCTTGCTATTGCGTTTGGCACCAGATGGAGTCGAGACACTGCATGCCGTGTTTGGACAGTTGTCAGCCGTGCACGTAGCAGTAGGCGGGAGAATAGCCCCCGTGGCTAAGTAAGGATAAAGGCTGCTGACATTTAGAAAGAGGAGCCTTGCGATGGGAGGGCAAATCAGTTTCGGCTGCTGTCAGATATCAGGGGTCCCTCTTCTGTGCCAAGAGGGCACGGCAGCAGTTGACCCCCTCCAACCCGCAACCATGAGATTCTGAGAGCAAATTTGGCGTGTTCCAGATGCAGGAATTCTAGGTTCATGAATCTTGCTTCCCTGCGAACAGTCACAGACTGCTCTTTCCGAAACCTCAGAACTAGAACGGACAGTGGAAACAGTTCTGCTCCCTCCTTGTTCTTCTTTTAAAACTATTTAATACCAATACCGGGCCATTGCACATTATGGCTTCCCAGCCTTAGACACACAGGCTTAGATTTCTGTCAGCAGAACAGACCTTCCTTGCCTCCCCCTGCCCCCACCCCCCACCCCAAAACAGCACAAAGATCAGCATGAGAAATGTCTGGATCAGTGTTCCCTCTAAGCTGAGTTAGTGTGAGCCAGCTCACCATTTTTTAGCCTCCGGCCCACACATTCTTGTCTTCGCTCAGGAGGGATGGCTCCAGAGCAAACCAATTTATGCAGCAGCGAAACTGCTTGCTCGCAGTTTTAAAGCCGGTAGCTCAAAAAGTAGAGTTTTTGCTTATGAGAATTCACAGCTTAAAAGGGAGCGTTGGTCTGGATGTCTGTAGAAGAAGAGGGAAAATCAGCTTAAAAAGCCAACACCGTTTTGTGTCCCCGGAAATCCTCCGTGGGGCTGGAGAACATTAAAGTGGTTCTGGTGCCCCATAGTAAAGGGAGGAGTAAGGCATGAAGGTTCTTCTGGTGCATCGCCTGCTCATGTCTGTTGTGTGCCATTTCAGTCACGAAGCAGAAAACAGAAAAGATCAGGAGTTGTCACTTTGGTCAACTGTGTGTGCAAGTCCCGTTCCATCAGAGGCTAAGAGGCTTAGCTGCCTCTGTTTCCAAAGGCTCAGCTTGGGGTGGGGGGGGGGGAATGCTTGTGGGCAATGTTCCCTCTAAGCTTTGGAGTCTTGTGAGCAAGAATTCTACTTTGTGAGCTATCGGCATTAAAGTTGTGAGTGAGTGATTCGGCTACTGCATAAATTAATTTGCTCTGGAGCCATCCTTCCTGAGCTAAGACAAAAATGTGTGAACTGGAGGTTAAAAAATTGTGAGCTAGCTCACACTAACTCAGCTTAGAGGGAACACTGCTTGTGGGTAGAAATTACTACAGACGCAGGACAAAAATTACCCTGGTCACTGTTGAAAGTCGCCAACTGAAAGCAAATCCAAATAGAAAGGCTTTTTTGGCCGTTCCGGAAAACGCCTTCAGGATATAAAGCTCTGCAGTGGTGGGTCAGCTTCCGTGCAGATTTCAAAGTCTGCGGAGTTGCTGTGAGTGAGCTGGGTTTAGGCTGAGGCCTGGCGGAGTGGACGTGTGTGGAGTCCGACCTGCAGACTCAGTCCCAGGGTGGACCATGTTGAATTTGGATACCAGCCAGGTGCTTACCAGGTTGGGGGCAGTTGGAACCTCTCATCCCAGCCTCCCTCATAGGGGTGATATGAGGAATTATGCCACCCTGATATACTCCTTACCAAATGCGATCAGCTGGCAAAGAAATTCAGTGGGGTTGGAATGCTGTGTCTTCAGAATGAATCCTGATAGCGGGAGTGTGTGGAGTTCATCACAAATCTGGGTGCGGTGGTCTGCTCGATCTCAACCTGGGGGAGAGGCAAAAGATGGTGGGGCTCACTTCACTCAGCCCGGTGGGAGGAGGCACACCTTGACTTCTTTTCAGGCTTCCTTAATTTTTTTTTTTTTTACAGTAAACCCAAAGAAAGACAGTGAGAACACTCCCGTGAAAGGAGGAACAGTAGCAGACCTGGGTAAATAACATTCTGTACTTTGCTCTTTTAGCCGAGCCCTCTTTCCTTTTCTGTGGCCCTTTTACCTGAGCTTATAATTCTCCCTGATCTAGAGGTGTAGGACAGCCGCATCGTAGTTCGTCATCGATCTTCTGTGCAGTCCTGCATGGGGACTGCACATGAGCAGACCTGCCATCGGGAGAGGTTCTTACAACTAGACGCCTCCAGGGGGCACTGTGCGCCAGAGCCAGAAACTTGTTCCCACCTAGGGACCATGTGCTCCCGTGCAGCAGCGCCCCCACCCTCTTGTCGCTGAGGGAGAAGGTTGAGTTTTGGAGTCTCCAGTCGTTTGCATTGGTGAAGAACTGCTTACCCGTTTTGCTGGGGTTGTTCTGGCTTCTGAGTTTCTACCACGGCTCAGAAAGCCCTTTTCAAAAAACGCACCCATTGTGGGGCAAAGATGACCCAAACCGACAAACATGACCTAGGTCTGTTTTGTTTGGGTGAAGGGCACAACATCCTCACATGTAAGGCCTGCCAGCGCTTCACCGCCAAAGCTCAGGGGGATAGGGCATCAAAACTCAAGGCAGCATTATGGGAGAAAGCCCTCAGAGCATCAGAGCCATCGTCCAAGTCGGTCCCAGAAAAATTGCCCATTGCTGCGTCCTCAGAATCGACATGGTAGACTCCACCACCAGTGTTTCCTCTAAGTTGACTTAGTGTGAGCTAGCTCAGTTTTTTAGCCTCCGATGCACGCATTTTTGTCTTAGCTCATGAAGGAGGGCTCCAGAGCAAACTAATTTACGCAGCAGCCAAATCGCTGGCTCACAACTTTAATGCTGGCTCACAAAGTAGGATTTTTGCTCACAAGACTCCACAGCTTAGAGGGAACATTGTCCACCACCTGGATCCAGGTTACAACCAATGCTCCCTCTAATCTGTGGAGTCTTGTGAGCAAAAAATCTACTTTGTGAGCTATTGGCATTAAAATTGTGAGCGAGCGATTTGGCTGCTGCTTCAATTAGTTTGCTCTGGAGCCCTCCTTCCTGGGCTAAGACAAAAATGTGTGAGCTGGAGGCTAAAAAACTGTGAGCTAGCTCGCACTAACTCAGCTTAGAGGGAACACGGGTCCGATTTGGGTCGCACTCCCCTCCTGCTCATCATGCCTCTTCCAAACCATCAGCTAAGAGGGCAAAGACCAAGTCCAAGGATAAGGAGAAATGCAAATCACCATGGTCCCGTCCACACTCCTGAGCCTACTGCTGCTCTTCAGGAGAAGCCTAGGGCCCCGGGCCCAAGATCCCCTCTGGTTTCTATCATGTATGGGGAACTAGAAGCGGGCTTATCGGCAGATCAAGTCCCACGTGACTCTGAACCGACGCCAATGACAATGGTTCCATAGCCTCAGCCGCCTTTGCAATGGCTGTTGCACCTATACATGATGTCTCCAGGTGATCTGGAGGAGTGGAGTGACAACATTGCTCATCCCAGGGAGGCGAATTTGTATCGCTGTTCTCATCGGGCTTCCTCGTATCCCCCCTTCAGCGGTTTCATGCAGGCCTCGCTCTCCTGTGAGGGGAGAGGATGCTGCTATTGGATCCAATGGATCCAACAGTACATCGGATTAGAGTACGGATGTGAGGGGGTGGGCGATTCCTCTCCGGCCTCTTCTACTGAAGACCTCTGTATGCGTGGGGAACAGATGATCCGTATGGCCCAGTCCCTTAATATAGAAGTCATTACTTTTAGATTTTTAAATTTATTTTATTCAATTTTATTCAATTTGTATTCCACCTTATCCCGCAAGTCTCTTTACATGCCTTCTCCAAGCTGTGCTGTTGCTGCTGCCATCTGACTCAGTGAGTGAACTCAGAAGGCATGTAAAGAGACTGCAACCTCTTTAAATGCCTTCATCAAACTGCGCCCGAATAGCAGCTGAATAATGTTGGCTTTTATTTGGGCTCAGCTCTATTACCGTAGTAGCCGAAAAGAAAGTTTAGTTTCTTTTCAGCTGAAAAAACCCCCCAAAATAGCTGTAAGGTATTTTTTCAGGAGGTTTTGTTGTTGTTTGGGTAAACTGAATGCATACTCCTAGTCAGAACCTCTCCAATGGCAGGCCTGCTTTCCCCATATGTGCCTCTGCACAGAAGATACTCGATGAACAGTACTTACAGGTGAGTGCAACTTAGTTATACTGATCCTTCCACTGAAGGCTTGCATTGTAAAGAAGGAAGCGTACCCTCGTGTGTGGGACTCTTATTTATCTGCTACTTTGTCCATCACAAGGTGGTCCCAACCTTTATTTCTCCATTGAGCAATGGAAGGAGGATGGTCTGAGCACTCTCACAGAATACTATTGAGGTCCTTCTAAAATATATCTAGATTGATTGTACGTTAATATTATAGCAATCTTAGAAGAATTGGAAAATCACAAGAAAGTGATAAGGATATGGTAATATGAAGATACTGTCCCTTGGACTGCAAGAAGATCAAATCAGTCAATCCTAAAAGAAATCAACCCTGACTGTTCCCTGGAAGGCCAGATAATGAAACTGAAGCTCAAATACTTTGGCCACCAAATGAGAAGGGAGCACTCCCTGGAGCAGAAGACCCTGATGCTGGGAAAGACTGAAGGTCAAAGAAGACGGGGACGGCAAAGGATGAGATGGTTAGGCAGTGTCATAGATGCAACGAACATGAAACTGAGCAAACTTCAGAGGACGGTGGAAGACAGGAGGGCTTGGCGGGAGCTGGTCCATGGGGTCGCGAAGAGTCGGACTCGATTGTGCGACTGAACAACAACAACAATATGAAGATCCTGCTGACAAGTTAATAGACGGCATTGTGACATATGTCTCTGCACTCACCGTTTGTATTAATGTTTATGCAGTAATGTTGAGACATAATGGGTTTATTTATGTATACTTGACTTATCTTTTAATAAAATAAAAAAATTATTTAAAATAAAAAGTAAATAAGGAAGCAGAGAGGAGGAATCAGTAAGAGGTCACCACGTAGTCGCCCTTGTTTGTCACCTTTTATGCAACTGTCCTCGATCTGTTCATGCAATTGTAGATGGGAACTGGTCCTAACTAAAATTGCTGACAGTGCAGCGGCAAGTCTGCTCACCGCTTGTAGTACTGAAGCAATGTTCAGGGCAGTCCTGCAAAACAGTATCGCTGATGCCCAGTCTGTACAACAATACAAGAAGACTCTCAAAAATCTCACTGGCTTGGATTGACCAAAGAACGACTGTATCTTTGGCTCAGTTTCTGTCCTCTGTAATTACAACCATCTTAGCCCATGGCAGGTTCTACTACACATTACAGCTGTTATGAACATTGAGAATCTTCCTTGATAATTGTGAGACGTCACCAGGGGATATGAATTTCTGAGAGACATTTTTTGTCCTACATCTTTGTTCAGAAGAAGATCTTCCTTCGAAACGGCGAGACATTCCGGAGATCACCGTCAATATATTTTTCTATGATTATGTATATTATTTTTGTTCACTTTTTAATGATTCTTTAAAGACATATATTAAGCGTCACTCTGTAATGAAAAGACGGGCCGAGTGAACATCCCGTGTTGAGTCTACTCGGGTGCTGAACCTTAAACTGTTAGTTAATTTAAGACGAATGATGTATGTTGAGATTTTACCTAGGTAATTAATTTTATAAAAGTTTTCTCTTGCTTCTAAATGATCTGTGGGCCATAATATGAACTGAACTCATATAGTAGTTAACAGATTGCAATTGCACAAAATAAACAGACTGGTCAGGCCTGAAGTGGCTGATACAGAGACGCAGGCCGTGCGTGGCAGCTTTAGAACTGAGTCTCTGGGCACACACGTCTCTGGGCAGTTCAGTTTCTCTGGGCACAGAAGTGCAGCCTCCACTGACAAGACCCTGCCTTTGCGCATGCGCACCCCCTTTCCCCTTTGGGAGGAAGAGGTGCTGGTTGGGGCCCTTCCTCCAGGTCTGAACTGGCAATTAAGTTCACAGGGAGGGAGACGCTGCCTCAAAGCAGGTAACACTCCAGGCCGTAGCGAGGGGGGTTTTCTGTAAGAGGAGTTGAGCCAGTCTGGTGTAGTGATTAAGTGCGCGGACTCTAATCTGGGAGAACCGGGTTTGATTCCCCACTCCTCCACTTGCACCTGGCTGGATAACCTTGGGCAAGCCATAACTCTGGCACAGCTGTTCTTGAAAAAAAGAGCAGTTTCTGTCAAGAGTTCTCTCAGCCCCACTCACCTCCCAGGGTGTCTGTTGTGGGGAGGGGAAGGGAGAGGAGTTTGTGAGCCACTCTGAGACACCTTTGGGGTAGTGAAGGGCAGGGGGTATAAATCCAATCTCTTCTTCTTCCTCTGAGCCTGCAGTCGTATGAAGATACCTCTGCACATTCTCCTCCTTGCCCTAAATGCTGCCCTGTTGACATTCAGGGGCTCCATGATTACCAGGGACTGTCCAGAGGCGTTTCACTCCCTTCTCTGCTCTTTGTCTTGCAGATGAGCAGGATGAAGAGACAGTGGCGACGGGAGGAAAGGTAATGGCAGCCATCTCCACCTCCTTTCCAGTGTTGTCAATTAATGGTTTTAAATGTGATCGTGTCAGTTCGTTTTTTTCAAGGAGGGATGTCCTTGAATCAGTTCATTGGGTCTTGATCTTCCCGTCCAGGGGCTACTGAAAGTATCCTGGTCCTCATTGCTCAGTTCTACAAAATTGCCTCTAGAGATTCCGAGGACCTCATCCTGAGTTCACGAAGATTCTTCCGAGGATGTCAGACCTGAAAGGGAGTGCCCACATCCCCTGGGGGAGGGGTGTGCACAGTGTTCCCGCTAAGCTGAGTTAATGTGAGCCAGCTCATGGTTTTTTAGCCCCTGGCTCACACGTTTTTGTCTTCGCTCAGGAAGGAGGGGCTCCAGAGCAAGCTAACTTATGCAGTAGCCAAATCGCTTGCTCACAACGCTCATGCCATTAGCAAACAGAGTAGAATTTTTCCTCACAAGACTCCGCAGCTTAGAGGGAGGCATTGCAGGGCTATTTTTGGGCAGGAACGCACAGGAACGGAGTTCTGGCTGGCTCCTGAGTTGGCCACGCCCAGCAGGAACTCATTAGCATAATAGGCCACACCCAATAGTAGAAAATCATTAGGATTGGCTACATTAGGGGTGTGTGGCCTGACATGCAAAGGAGTTCCTGCTACAAAAAAGCCTTGGGTTTTGACAACAAACAAGGTCAACAGAATAAGAAGGGAAAGGTGGGTGTGGCTGGATGAGCACACTTCTGGTAACATGGGGTGTGTGGCCTAATATGCCAATGAGCTGTGCTGTCAGGGGTGTGGCCTAATATGCTAATGAGTTTTGCTGTTGGGTTTAGCCTATTATGCTAATGAGTTCCTGCTGGGCTTTTTCTACAAAAAGAGCCCTGATTGGTGCATGTTTTTACTGGCGAAGTCTTTTTGGCACTGCTGTTTGTTGCAAAAGGCATGTACCCCTCCCCCAAGGCCCACTTGGTTTGTGGGTGGGTGGTCTGGGCCGCTCAGAAAAGGAGTTAGTGGTTTAGTCCCATCACTGCCCCTTCCACCCTACTGTTTGCCACCCTTTGCCACACTCTAGAAGTTGTGAAGGATGAGCTTAACCCATTTTATCCTGTTATTGTGAAAGTGGCTGCGGACCCTGCCGCCACCCTTCTGTGTCTACTTCAGGCCTGTGGAAGCTCGAGGTGACATGCATTATGCCTCGGTTACTCAGTTTTAACCTCCTCCTGGCTTTCAAGTACCTTACCTCTTCCCTGTGTCTGTCTGTGTCGCCCCACACCGCCAACCATTGCTCAGTGCTTCATTCAAGGCAGAGAGTTCTGTGGAAAGCCGCTTAGGCACCTTACTGGTAAGATGGAATTGGAAAGAACACGTAATCACAGCCTTTGTCAAAATAATGACGAGCGACATCTTTACCAGTTTACGTTATTGTGGTGTCTTATATTTGGCACCCTGTGATTATTTCACTTGTGTGCAAAGGAAAGAATCTTGATTAGGTAAGAACTTCTGAACAGCCCACAAGCTTTCCCCATCGAACAGCCTTCGCTGAATTTGCCAGTAACCAGTCAGGTTAGCCTTTGAGAGGAAGGGATAAGAATGGAGTGGGGTGGATGGCCGGGGAATGCACAGCTGAAGGTTTTGAGACTTCTGCTTTCGCTGTCTGTTCCTTTGTGTCTCGTGGAAGTCAGTTCAACAACCCACTGGAATGCTGACGCCACCTGGCTGTCATCTGAACATCATGTCCTCTCCCTCACGTGTTAGTTTTCACTTATAGAATCATAGAAGGTCAGAGTTGGAAGGGTCCTTGTAGGTCATCTAGTCCAACCCCCTGCGCTCTGCAGGAGCATAGCTGAACAATAGCCCTACAACATACTCGAAAGATGGTCGTCCAGCCTCTGCTTGGAAACATCCAGTGAAAGAAAGAAAAAAAGAAAGAAAGAAAGAAAGAAAGAAAGAAAGAAAACTTCTTTCTTGCATGCTTTTAACCCCCGGGCTCCGTTTCTCCTGCAGGAAGATGAAGATCCCAACAAAGGAGATCAGAGCCGCTCGATGGATACAGGAGAAGACAACGTCACCGAACAGACGAATCACATCATTATCCCCAGCTATGCATCCTGGTTCGACTATAACTGGTAAGAAAATTGGGGAAAGAAAGTGCTCTTGGGGGAAGCGGGATCTGTGGGTTCGGCTGGCTCCCCACTGTGAGGAGTCCAGTGGCTGTTTTGGATGAAACCTTGTAGGGTTGAGTCCTGCAGACTCTCAGTCTGTGGCAAGTGATGCTCTGTATTCTTGGTGCTGGGGAGGGGGGAAACAGTGGGGGAAGGGTTTCTAGTGTCCTGGCCCCACTGGTGAACCTCCTGATGGCCCCTGGTATTTTTGGCCACTGTGTGACACGAAGTGTTGGACTGGATGGGCCATTGGCCTGATCCAGCATTGGCTTCTCTTATGTCCTTATGTACTGCTCTGCTCGGCTAAGGTTCATGCATTTCCCTGTTCCAAGGTGCCTTCTGCTGCTGATGCTCGGAGCTCTGGCATCACTGCAAGTTTCCTGGAGCAATTGGAACAAACTGCTCTTGGCTGCGGGGGGTAGCAACAGGATGCGCCCCGCAGTTGCTGTTCCTCAGAGCTGCTCAGGAGTGACTTCTGACTAGGGGTGTGTGCATTCGGCTGTATCTGAGCTGGAGAAATTGACCAGTTTGGTGTAGTGGTTAAGTGTGCGGACTCTAGTCTGGGGGAGCCGGGTTTGATCCCCCACTCCTCCACTTGCACCTGGCCGGATGGCCTCGGGCAAGCCATAGTTCTGATAAGAGCTGTCCTTGAAAAAAGAGCATTTTCTGTCAAGAGCTCTCTCAGCTGCGCCTCCCTCACAGGGTGTCTGTCTGTTGTGGGGAGGGGGAGGGAAAGGAGTTTGTAAGCCTCTCTGAGACTTCTTTGGGTAGTGAAGGGCGGGGTATAAATCCAGTCTCTTCTCTTCTTCTTCTATCTATCCATCATCTATCTACCCATCTATTTATCCATCATTCATCATCTATCCATCTATCTATCTTCATCATCCATCCATCTATCCATCTGTCTGTCTGTCTATCTATCATCTATCTATCATCATCATCATCCATCTACCTATCCAGTTTGGTGTAGTGGTTAAGTGTGCGGACTCTAATCTGGGGGAACCACTCCTCCACTTGCACCTGCTGGATGACCTTGGGCAAGCCATATTTCTGGCACAGCTGTTCTTGCAAAAGAGCAGTTTCTGTCAAGAGCTCTCTCAGCCCCACCTACCTCCCAGGGTGTCTGTTGTGGGGAGGGGAAGGGAAAGGAGTTTGTAAGCCACTCTGAGACTCCTTTGGGTTGCGAAGGGTTGGGGTATAAATCCAATCTCCTCCTCTTCTTCTTCAGTTGGGTATGGTGGGCGCGCGGTATCCACCATAGCCCATCCCAGATAATCCCTTAAAAAATTGAGATAATCTGGGACAGCAGTATAGCCACAGTTAAACAGCATTTAAGGAGACTGCAGTCTCTTTAAGCGGCATTCGGGTTGAAGCCGCAGCTTCAGGCACTCATTTAAAGGGACCACAGCACCATTAAATGCCTTCGACTCCGTTATGGGTCCCCATAGGCTATAATGAGGAATCAGTCCGGGGGTCAGGGGGGGCTGTTTTTTTATGCAGAGGCATCAAATTTTCAGCATAGCTGCTGGTGTCTCTCCTCAAGAGACCACCCAAGTTTCAAAAAGATTAGACCCCAAAAGAAGGTGCCCCCGTCCTCCGTTTTCTTTCAGCGGGGGGGGGGGGGGGGGCAGCAAAAAAAGCAAGGTCTTATGTAAAACCAGAGAGTCTGGAGGATGGGGGCACCTTCTTTGGTCACTCTGTACATCCACTGGTTCTGCTGGGCCTGGAATCCCCCCTTCAGTTTTACTGAAGAGACTCTTTGGTTTGACAGCAGTCTTTTTTTCACTGTTTTTCCCCACTATTGGAAGCAAAGGAGGATGGGGGCACCTTCTTTGGGGGCCCATAGGATTGGACCCCCTGGTCCAATCTTTTTTAAACTTGGGACATCTTTTGAGGAGAAGCACCAGAAGCTACAGTGAAATGTTGGTGCCTCTACCTCAAACAACAGCCCCCCCCCACCCCTTGATCCCCCTGGAAAGATTCCCCATTGACTATAACGGTCGCATAGGGTACAATGAAGCTGAGAAATTCGGGCTTCCCCCCAAAAAACCCTGAATCTGAATACCATGCCGGTATTGGAATTTGTGTTTTTTTTTCGGGAATCCCAAATTTTGGGGGGTTCTATATAGCTGAATCAAAAAAATCCTGACTTGTGTGCAGTGTTCCCTCTAAGCTGAGTTAGTGTGAGCTAGCTCACAGTTTTTTAGCCTCCGGCTGACACATTTTCATCTCAGCTCAGGAAGGATGGCTCCAGAGCAAACTAATTGATGCAGCAGCCAAATCGCTTGCTCACAACTTTAATGCCAGCAGCTCACAAAGGAGAATTCCTGCTCACAAGACTCCACAGCTTAGAGGGAACATTGCTTGTGTGTATGTGTGTGTGTGTGCACACACACTCCTACTTCTGACGTTGATTCTGCACGTTAAGTACTGTTGAGTCCCTTCCAACTTCTGGCGACCCTATGAATCAATGGCTTCCAAAACATCCTATCATTAACAGCCTTCCTCAGGTTTTGCAGAACAAAGACAGTTTGTTCCTTGGCTGAGTCAATCAATCTCATGTTGTGTGACTTCCTCTTTTTTGATTAGATGAGTGTTAGCATTGATACCTAGATCAGGTAGCTGCTACCTACCTCACCCACTCCTCTGCTTCCTATCAAGCATGGGTTTTTAGAGATCCAAAGCACACGTGAGGAAAACTGGTGCTTCTACATTCCATTCCTTGTTTAAACGAGTGAACATAAGAACATAAGAGAAGCCAATCTTGGGTCAGGCCAATGGCCCCTCCAGTCCGACACTCTGTTGTCACACAGTGGCCAAAAATACCAGGTGCCATCAGGAGGTCCAGCAGTTGGGCCAGGACACTAGAAGCCCCCAGGAGGTCCAGCAGTGGGGCCAGGCACTAGAAGCCCCTCCCACTGTTCCCCCCCCCCCCAGCACCAAGAATATAGAGCATCCCTTGCCCCAGACTTCCTATCTATACCTTGTGGCTCATAGCCACTGATGGATCTCTGCATATGTTTATCCATAAGAACATAAGAGAAGCCAATGCTGGATCAAGCCAATGGCCCATCTAGTCCAACCCTCTGTGTCACACAGTGGCCAAAAAAACAGGTGCCATCAGGAGGTCCAGCAGTGGGGCTAGGACACTAGAAGCCCTCCCACTGTTGCCCCCCCCCCCAGCACCAAGAAGACAGAGCATCCCTTGCCTCAGCGTTCCTATCTATACCTTGTGGTTAATAGCCACTGATGGTCCCCTGCTCCATAGGCTTATCTAATTCCCTCTTGAAGCTGTCCATGCTTGTAGCCGCCACCTCCTGTGGCAGTGAATTCCATGTGTTAATCCCTCTTTGGGAGAAGAAGGACTTCCTTTTATCTCTTCTAACCTGCAAATCTGTTAAGTGGCTTCTACTTTGTATTTTTTTGGGAATAATAGGATCACAGTAGGATCTTTGTTGAGGGCACGCGGTTCTTCAGCCTTTCTGAAGTTAAGCTGGTCTGCGTCTGATCTCTGCCTGTATGGCGGGTTGAGGGGTGATCTGGGGACCCTGCTACATACATCTCCTTTAATTCCATAGTGGAAGAAAGATGGGATATAAATATAATTGTAAAACAGGTTCAAAGTATCGTAAGATTTCAGGACGGCAGCAGTTTTACATAGCCCAGAGCAAATAAAGAAGCTGAGTAAAATGTATTTCAGCCAGAAGCACAGGAATTCAGGCACACAGTACTGCTCCGATGATTAATGACAAGGGCCAGGGTGTAAGGAACGGTATTCCAAATTGCAGCTGTACTCCAGATTTACCTCCCGTAGCCTCTTAACAATAAAGGCTATCTTTTCTTGCCTGCAGAGTGTCACGTGGGCGGTTTACGGAAGGGGAATCGCGGGAAGGAGAATTAAATACTGGAAATTTCGTTAGCGCAACAAATTCCTGGGCATTCTTGAATACAGAACACTGAGCCAAGTGGGCCTGATCTAGCTGGGCAGGTGTTGGTTTGGGAGAGGTGCAGAGTCACGTCTGAAGTGTTTCCCCGTAGGTCCCAGGGACCCGTGCTGGCTTTGGCACTTACAGCCTTTGACTCAGGATTTTCTTTTCTACTTGAGAGAGAGCTATTTCTCTTAGATGGCATCCACAAAATACATATGCACAGTTGGTTAGGTACACGATACTAACTACAAGTCTTGTTTTCAGGTCTGGATTACAGTTCACATTGTTTGATCTGGGCTGGGCCTAAACCAAGCATAATAAACTCACCTGTAGGGAATGGGGGTCCGGTTGTTGGCGTGGCCCCCAGAGGCATGGAAAAATCATTTACAGAAAAAATTCTTGGGGGGAGGCTGTGCCTGCCCCCCCAAAAGCCCCACCGTAGCTGCGGGCCTGATACACACTTCAAAGCACATGAAAGCTTATAGGTAAAGGTAAAGGTTTCCCTTGCTCAAAAGCCAGTCGAATCTGACTCTAGGGATGCGGTGCTCATCTCCGTTTCCAAGCCGAAGAGCCAGCGCTGTCCAGAGACGTGTCCGTGGTCATGTGGCCAGCATGACTAGACACCGAAGCACACGGAACGCTGTCTCCTTCCCACCGAAGCGGTCCCTATTTATCTACTTGCAGTTTCTTGCTTTTGAACTGCTAGGTTGGCAGGAGCCGGGGCCAGAGACGGGAGCTCACTCCATCACACGGCACTCGGGTCTCGAACTGCTGAACTACCGACCTTCCGGTCTGCAGCTGAGCATCTTAATCACTTGAGCCACCGCAGCCCCTTGAAAGCTTATACCCAGGGTTAAATTCTGAAGCTTTAATATACATTTCTAACTGAAGGATACTAGTCGTCCAGCACCTTTTTCATTCGTTTAGTCTCCAAATACTGGTTTAAATTGTGTCAAGGTAGACTGAGATTTAAATCACTTTTTTGACCTTAACAGCAGCACACACTCACACGCCCACGCCTGTCACGGGATGTGG